CATGGAATATGTATATATTTAGATATTAATGAATACACGTGACTTTTTTACAGACTGGAGTATCTATGGCACAGTGTTACAGACTGGCCTTTCTGGTGAAGAATTTCAGTTGATTAAATAACTAGGATTACACATATATGTGTATGTGTGCGTGTGTGAGCATGCGGTAAAAGCAGAATTCAAGCAGTGCTTTTGAAACAGTGCACTTCTTGTTCCGGAATACTTTTAGGCTTGCAGAGAAGTTGCACAGACAGCACACAGAGGCCCCATCTGCCCCCACCAGCTTCCCCTCCTGCTATTACCTTCCGTTTCCACAGGACACCTGTCGCACAAGAAACCAACACTGGAACATTACTGTTAACCAAATTCCAGACGTGGTGTGGATTTCAGTGTTTCCACTGATGTCCTCGTTCTGTTCCAGGGTCTCATCCAGGATGCAACGTTGTATTTTGCCTCTCTGCTTTATAAGTGCAAATGGGAGCAAACTCTGTATGTACTTGATGTATAATTTATAATCAAGGGAAAAATGTCAAGTGTGCATGCATACACACACAACAGAAGGGAAATGTGCAGAGGCCCAGAGACTTTTATTTGCAAACGTGGGGGGTGAAAGGTAGCAGGGAGGCAGTAGGCAGGTGGAGAAGGGTCTGAAATTCCATGCTAGGGAGTTCAGCGTTTCTGTAGAAGGACACAGGAGCACTAGAAAGAAAGAACTGTTCTATCCAAAGCAATAAGACAAGAAAAAGAATCAGTATTAGGAGGACTGAAGCACAGAGAAGTGTCCGAGACTGCCGGCTGCTGTTTAGTAGCAGAAGCTTCGATGCCCAGGGACTTAGGAGCTGACATCTGCCCATCCTCCCTCCCAGACAGACCCTGAAAACACAGACTACACCATGGAGCACGGAGCCACGCGGAACTTCCAGGCCGAGAAGCTCCTGGAGGAGGAAGAGAAGAGGGTACAGAAAGAGCGGGAGGACGAAGAGCTGAACAACCCCATGAAGGTGAGTCAGGCGCCATGTGTGCATGCGTGGCTGCATGCATGTGTGTGTGTGTGTGTATGCGTGTGTGTGCATGTGTGCATGGATGCTGGTGGAGTTGGTGCCCCTTCCTGCCTCAGGCCTCTGGGCAGGGTGATGGGGTGGGGAGTGTGGTCAGCAGAACTCTTAAGATGTCCCCAAGACCCCCACCTCCTGGTCACACGCCCTGCATAGTCCCGGGACTGGGTATACAAGGGTCTGCTCCTGTGACCACATATGTGAGATTGAACTACAGCCCGGTTGTTGCCCTCAGGAAAGGGAGATCACAAGAAAGGGAGACAGGTGGACCTGGCCTGTCACCTGAGCGCATTAGTCTGGGGCTAGAGTCAGAGACAGAGGACATCAGAGATGTGAAGGAGTGACAATGTGGAGAAGGCCACATGGCAGAGAAGGCGGGCAGTGTCTAGATGCTGAGAATGGCCCCCGGCCCCCAGCCAGCAGGAAGGCGGGGATCTCAGTCCCACAACCACGAGGAGCTGAATTCTCCAGCAGCCTGAGCAAGCTCAGAAGAGGGCCCTGGGCCCTTAACCTCAGCCTAGTGAGACCCTGCCGGAAAACCCAGCCACGCCAGGCCAGACTTCCAACGCACAGAAACCGTGAGACAGTGAATTCCTGCTTTGTTAAGCCACTGGTCTGGTGGCAAATTGTTGCATAGCAAGAGAGAACTGACTCAGGGAGCCAGGAAGTTGGACTTCAGAACACAAGGTACTTCCTGCAGGCGGCTACCCTACAGTTTTCTACAGAGGTTCCTGTGACCTGTTGGACCAGTAAGGGGGTTAAGTCTAGCTTATAGAAGGAAAAGTTCTCTTGACCATTCCTTGGCTGTGTGACCTTGGCCAAGGCACTTGGCCTCTCTGTGCCTTAGCGTCCTCATCTGTAAAATGAGACTGAAACTGTCTCCTCCTCACGCGCCTGTGGTGAGGAGTAAATGAGCTCACACACATAAGGCTGAGGGCAGAGCCCGGCACGCGGTCATAGTCCCTGAACGTGCGGACTGTTGGTACTCCTTGAAGAAGTTATTTTCATGTGTAACTGGACATTTTTGCTACTTTTCTCAGAAATACTGAATGTCCGTGTTCCCTCCTGTCTTCTCTCGCCCCGTAATCCTCCTCTATTCCTGATCCCTCCCGCCTCTACCAGTTATGATCTGATCTGACTCTTCAGTGGCCGTGCAGAGCAGCAGGGAAAGAAATGGGCCTTACGGACAGTTTGCTGTGTGCCCAGAGCGGCTCCAGTGCTGTCCGTGTGCAGCTCCAGTTACCGCTACACTGGCCAGCGAGGCCTTGTTACCCTGGTATGGGTTAGCTGACCCTGTGTAACAAGTTGCCTCAAAACTTTGCCACTTCAAACGTTTATTACAACTTGAAATGTTTATCATCCCACAGTTTTCGAGGGTCAGGAATCCAAGAATAGCTTTGCTGGACGGTTCTGGAGTGGGGTCCCTCACACAGTCACAGTAAATCTGTCGGCCAGGGCTGCCTCACCTGAGGGCTGGAGGAGCTGTTTCCAGGACGGCTCCCACGTGTGGCTGTGGGCTGGGGGCCTCAGCTTCTCTCCACGTGGGCCTTTCTACAGCTCGAGCCCCCTCACAGTGTGGGGGCCGCCCCCTCCCCCGGTGAGAATCCTAGAGAGACCAAGGAGCAGCCCAGGGCCTTCTGTGTCTCCGAGGTGACACACATCATTGGTCATCTTCTGTTCCTTAGAAGCGAGTCACTGGACCAGCGCTCCCTCCGTGGGAGGGAAATTAGGCCAAAGAACGTGTGACCGTGTTTTCAAACCACCACGAATGCCAGAGCTTTCCCAGAGGGCTAACACAACAAGGAGACAGAGCCAGGGAGGAGTCACACCCAGCCCTGCCTGGCTCCAAAGCCACCTCTTGGACACCCGGGGTGACCAACCCCGCCTCTTTGAGCCTCAGTTTCCTTGGCTGTAAAATGGGGTTGTTGCAAAGAGTAAATGACGTTATGTTTGGAAACACCTCAGCCTGGCACCTGGCACATGGCAGTTGCTCAGGTTGTCTTTGTTAATCTGCATTATTATTTTCACTGAGTGACAGAGCCAGGCTGGACGTCCAGGCCACCTGGCTCCACCACTGACCAGCCACATGGCCTTAGGCAGTCCCTTGTCCTCCTGAAACTCAGTGTTCCAAGCTGTGAAATGGGTACAGTGACGGGATCAGGCGCTGTGGATCGAGGCACCAGGGTGGGGTGTCCTTGCCTTGCCCCCGTGACCCCCGAGGCCAGACAGGCTGCGTGGCAGGGTGAGGCCCTAGCACACTGAGCCCAGCGTCTGCCTGCCCGTCAGGTGCTGGAGAACAGAACCAAAGACTCCAAGCTGGAGATGGAGGTGCTGGAGAATCTGCAGGAGCTCAAGGACCTGAACCAGCGGCAGGCCCACGTGGACTTCGAGGCCATGCTGCGGCAACACCGCCTGTCGGAGGAGGAGCGGCAGAAGCAGGAGCAGGAGGAGGACGAGAGGGAGGCTGCGTGAGTCGGGGTGCGAGTCGTGGAGGGTGGGGCCGCAGTCCCGGGAGCCCCAGGTGCGCCCACCCACTGCACAGCCCTCGTAGGGCCCTTCCTTCTGCCTGGAATTCCCTGTCCGGATCTTTCCACGGCTCCCTCAAGGGTCACCTTCTCAGGGAGGCCTTCCCTGCACCCCTCATCTCACGTTCTCTTTCATGGCGTCTGTATCGGGGCCCCAGGACCTCCCCCAGGTTCAATGGTTAATTATAGTGAAGTTACAGAGAAAAGTCAGCAGAGGGGAAAGGTGCCTGGGGCAGTCGGGGGACCGGGTGCAAGCTGTCCGAGTCCCCTCCCGGTGGCATCCCACGGCATGGGCTTAATTCCCCCAAAACGAGATGGGACAGTGCAAGTGAGCTGTCGTCCCCAGGAGGACTCACGAGACCCGGTCACGCAAGCACCTCTGCCCAGCACGGCCGAGACCCCAGGCTCCGAGAGGAGAGCAGGTGCCTGTGTAGACCCCATGTTTGCACAGACAGTGCAGGGACAGGGAGCCCCTCATCAGCAAGGGTGGCAGGAGCCCCCAGGCCTAGTTCCAGACACCCCCGAGGGCCGGGCTGGTGAGCAGTCTTCGCAAGACACCGCCTCAGGCCTGCTGTGTTCATGCTTCTGCACGGCGTCTCCCGCTGTCCAGAGCCATCTTGCCGATTCACCCCTTTCCAGATCTGTTGTGTCTTCCCTCGAGAGTGTGAACAGGGGCTTGGTTTGGCTTCTGGCTCTGGGGCCTGGAACAGGGTCAGGCACGTAGTAGGTGCGCAGTCGGCACTGGTGGGTTGGCAGATCGGTGACTCCATGACTAGCAGGGAGCGGTGTCTGCATTTATCGAGCCCCTTCTGGGTGCCAGGCTGTTTGGGGTTTGGCCCCATCATTATGGTGGTCGAGAGAACTGAGGTATAGGGAGCTCCAGGCACAGCCCTGACCAAGATCCCCCAGCTGGGGTTCGAATCCAGACAGCCTGGTTCCAGCCTCCAGGCACTTAACCACCCCACTGGGCTCAGTGGACAAAGCACTTTTACTTTTTTAAGGTGTTTGTGCACCCCACATCCCCCACTCGGTGAGGTCAGGGAAGGGCAGCCAGGCGGCACCCTCAGCAGGTGGGGAAGGGACTGTGTGTCTCAGCCACTGCCCCCCACAGAGCGCATCCCCAAGTCCCATGTTCCATCCCGCAGCGCCTTAGTGGAAGAATCTAGGAAACGAAGACTCCTGGAAGACTCCGATTCAGACGAGGGTGCTCCTCCCTGCCAGCCCCGGCCGGCTGTGCCGCCCAAGCCCACTGCCATCCTGGACGAGGTGAGTGGGGCTGCCTGCATCTCCGCCCGCTCACAGGTTGAGCAGGAGCCAAGTGAGCCAGGGTTTGGCTTAACTTTGTCTTGAAAGTGGAGTCTGGGTCGTAAATGCTCACCTCTGCCATCGTAGCACAAAATAGGCATAGATCCTGTGTAAATAAGCCAGCGTGGCCATGTGCCAATAAAACTTTATTTACAAAGACAGGTGGTAGGCCCTGTGGATCAGTAGTTTTGCACCCCTGCTTCAGCTGCAGAAACCAGGAGACTCCCCAGGTTTGTGGACTCCCGGGCAGCCCTGCTCCATGCGATCACTCAGGGATGCAAGCTCCCCGCATCTTGTTCTGCCCTGTCCTGGAACGTGGATTCCAGCTCCGTGGTTACAGTTGGCTCAGCGCACCCTGGGGTTCCCGCTGCAGGAAGGCTGAGGGTGTGTGGAGGAGCGCCTGCAAGCAGCCCAAGGCCCAGATTCAGATGCGGCCCACCTCCACTCCCCTCCAGGCCCAGTGGCTGGACGTGGTCACGGGGCCATATCTGCTGCAGTGGAAGCTGGCAGCTGCTGCCTCCAGCTGCCCGCGTTGGCAGACAGATGGCAAGAAGAGGGTTTGGCCGGGAGGGGCCAGGGATGACTGGCATTTTCCAGCATGGCCATCTTACCCAAGGTGGTCAGGGCCACTCGGTTTTGTTAATCGAAGGAGAGGGGTTAAAGTGGGAAATTGTAAATAACACAGACACCCCAGAATGTTTCTATTTTAATTCAAAACGTGTTTGTGGTCTGTATTAGTTAAATACAAGTCTAACCACTGGACACCACCCAAAGGAACAGTGGTTTCAACTGCACAGAAGTTACTTTTCTCTGAAACAACAGTTGTGCAGGGCCATGCAGAACAGGGAGGGTGGTTCCCTGGTGTCCCGGGCCCAGGAGGCCTCCTTCTCATTGTCCTGCCGTTCCGAGCATGGTGCCCTCACTGCAAGGCAGCTCAGTGCCACCTCTGCATCCCAGCCAGTGGGAAGGATAGGGCAGGGGGGGAGGGCCTGGAGGGTCCACATACCCTGGGCTGAGCACATCCCTCTGCTCACACCCCATTGGTCAGAACTGGACCACCCGACCACACCCCCCTGCAAAGGGGCCTGGGAAATGTAGTCTTTCGTGGCACAGCCATGTTTCAGCTGAGAATTCCGAGCGTGGGTTTGCAGGCCACGCACTCTCACCCATTAATCTTTTGACATAGGACCTAGATGTTTTTTTCGAGGCTGTATCCCCTGGTTAGAGTTCTCACACTGTCTTGTACCCTCAGGATTCATTGTCTAAAATTTCCTCTTTATTTTTTTCTTTCAAGTGGAAGAAGAGATTGAAGGTTCTCTCAGCGCAGTCTGACCTTTTATGATTTTCCCCGTCTTTTTTTTATAGTTACCTTGTTTGTCACTAATTTGATGGTAGACCTTCTGTTTTCTTTTGTTTTACACAAACTTCCCTATAACCCTTAGGGAAGCACCTCTTTTTTTAGCCCTCTCTTTCCCTTGGTTTAGTTTAATCACACCAGCACCTGGCTTAAACAGGCTTGGGGTCGAATACACGCAGCTCTCAGCGCCCGGGCCGACACCGGGGCCCATAACAGTGCTTGGCAAGAGGCAAAGGACAGCAGTTATTCCGCCAGTCAGCTCGGTGGTGCCGGATAAGAAAGGTTCAGCTGGGACTGCCGGTCTCTCTCTGTCCCCGCCCTGGACTGCGTCTGTCCTGGTCACCACACACAGGGAATGCAGGGTGGCCACTGTGTCCTCCTCCTCCCCCACCCCACCACTGCAGTCGCACCAGCCCCCCGAATGGGCCAGGCCCAGTCCCCCCTCCCCACCTTTGCCCAGAGCGCCCTCCCTTCCATCTCCTCGTCTGACCTCAGCACAAGGGCACCTCTCTGATGAAACCTCTGCTGACCAGCTTATCAGCAGTGGCCACCCCCCTGTACACTGTCACACCACCCTGACTTCTTTCTTTCACACCACTGGTCAGATGACTGTGTCCTTGTCATCTGCTTGCTCACCCACCCTCATTGCCCCCTGTGGTGAGCTCCATGAAGGCAGCCCTCTGCCTTCGTGCTCCCCTGCACCCCCAGCTCCTGGCTCTGACGGCCTCCTGTACCCAGTGGTTTCCAGTTCCTCTATTTAAACATCAGACAGATGCAAGGGGTCCCTCCTGGTGAGATTGAAGAGCTGGAGATGGGGCTGAGTCTCTTTCAGCTTCCCCCTAACTAGTTCCCAGTGTGGGTTCCTGCATCTTCCATCATTCCTTAGAACATGTTGAGCACCTAATATAGACCTAGCAGTGAACAAGACAGCAGTCCACAGCGTGGTTGAGGAGGCAGTTAATAAGGCAGTAGAGGGCACTGTGGTCACAGACATGCAGCACTTACTTGAACTATGGGGAAAGGCTTCCCAGGAGAGCAGATACTTGTGTTGGGTTTTGAAGGATGAGTAGGAGTTCACCAAGTGAACTAGAAGCAAAGGGGGCATTCCAGGTGGAGGGAATGGCATGGGTAGAAGCGTGGAGGTGAGCAGCCACGGTGTGATTTAGGAAGTGTAAGTGCAGGTGTGTGCCTTAGAAATGGGCAGACACCTTGAGTGCCAAGCTTAGGGCAATGG